AGCACAACCGTTTCATCAGAAGGTTGACTTCAATTGTCTCTGATGCGTCGTAATTTGATGCTGAAAATGGCAAGACCCCATGACGATGTCGACTACGATGCCGGAGAAAGGTATGGGAACGTACAAAATCCACGATCCGACTCTGGAAATCGTCATGCATACCATTTCATGGACTCTGTGCTCCTCAAGTTGCAAAAACAACTTACTGCGAGCCCCTCTCTGGCACTCGTTGGCCAGTCTTGACTAACTGGGATAGCCAGGTATGATGATCCGGATGGCGTGACTCGGTCGAGTTGGTTTAACTTCAAATTGGTGTTTTGGTTAAGAGCCAGATCGTTGATTTAGTGCACCTCTCAACCGTTTCATCTGAATAGCAGTCGGAAGCATCTTCGGGATAGAGTTGCTACGCTTCAGGGACACTTGGTAGGTTGTAACACTTGATAACGATGTCCACTGCAACGCTGATGAAGCGTCCGGGATTGTAGAGCAGGTGAAGGTCCAGAAGGTAGAAATCGGCATGGCTGCTGGGTCAGTGCTCGGAATTGGGCGCGTTCCATAAAGTTACTCTGTTGTTCCGACCGAGTTGCCAAAGCGAAGTCAAACCAATGCCATGGCATGGGTTTGCACCTGGAAGGACAAGCTGGTTGGAAAGAATTCGCGAAATGGTCTGAGTGGAAATCGAAGGAGGATTGCGACGGATTTGGGTTGTGCGAATGAGTCATTTAACCCCCACTCTGCGACCCCGATGAACCTGCGCAAACGTTCGTCTGTACCATCATATAAGACCTAAGGGCAAGAATCCATACTTCACGAAGTGGCAAACCCTTCGTGTTGGTTCGTTATATGTTTGCGCTATTTCGTGAAGTATGGATTCTTGTCCCCATGTCTGACCAGACGGTGAACAAAAGTTCAACTCAGGTTCACTGGGGTAGCAGGACAGTAGGCCGATGACTCTTTCGCACAATCCTCCTTTAATCCACACTGAGACCATTTGGGAAATTCCTTCCGACAAACTTTTCCTTCCGACAAACTTTTCCTTCCGAGTGACATTGGTTTGGCTTTTTTCGCAACTCGGCTGGAGTGGCAGAGAAGCCTGACACAGTTGAAGAGGAAGGCAACCAAATCTAAGACCCTACCATCTGGAACATCATGTCTGCCCACCTCAGTTAGTCGCGAAGGCTCGAATCTGGTCGATCGGTTGGGCTAACCTGAGAGCCAGCATTAGGAAGGCCAGTTGTTGCGAGAATACAACCGTCTTGTCAAAAAGGTCACAAGAGCAACCCTCGTTCGTGAGGGAAGAGTACCTGAACGGTCACAACCCAGGTAATTATTCAGCAACCAACCACGTCAACGGACTGGAAACGCTGCAATGAGGCATTATCATAACTGCAGATGACTCGGTATGGAAAACATTCCCTTGAGTTGTGCAAACGAATTCACCCCAATTTCACACAACAATGTGATCAGAATGTGAATGTTCTGTGCAGGAAAGTGAATATCGTTTCCGGATGCGATTAGCCAGACTCTCTTTTTTGTATATAGGGGCACCTTTCTTTTAGTTTGAAGAGGTGAGTGACTCTGCAGCAAATAAGCCTTTGGCGTATCCTCCCGCGAACCCGGTCGACATGTGCGGAACTTTTGATCTGACATGAGAACGGAAAGGTGCCAGGAAAAATTGTCCTCACAAATCGACAATCAGCACCCCAAAGCAATCCTTCTCACCTTCCACATCCTTCCTTCATTCCCTCTTATATCCTTTTTGCCCGGTTTAATTTGAAATCTAGAGACCCACTCATGATACGTCTCGTCCGGTGAAAAAGTGGAGGCCTTAATCTGTTCCCAATGCAGACGAATAAAATAGCTCTCGCAAATAATGTCATCGGGAAAAATAGTTTGTTGGAAAAGGCTTTGATAACAAA